CTAAATTTTAAGCCAACAATGAGAAAATGAATTAACAGGAGAGAAAGACGCGCACAAAATACAATGAGATTTTACGGTGACAGGGGTCCAATGGACCCGAGAAACCCAAAATATCGAAGAATGGAGAAGTTGTCAGTTGCATCTGAGGCAAGGATGAGGCACGCTGATCAAAGTTCAAAGCACGAACTTTAGAAGTGCAATTTGAGGCACAAAATAGTGTCATGTGACAGTAAACTGGCGGGTAATTTTTATGCGTTTTGTGTCGTGTAACAGCGTTACAAAACGCATATCGTCACGGGGTTGTCTGTGTGTGTGTGTTTGTGTTTGTGTGTGTGTGTGCGTGTGTGTGTGTGTGTCCCACATTTTGTTCCGCACTTTCAACTCGGGAACCACGAAAATTAAGCGGCTGAAATTTTGGTATAGTGTTCCCCGCCAACGGGTGACGTGGCAATTTAAATTCAGCCTCCCCTTACCCGCGGGTAACGCGTACGGCCCCGGGAAAGTTTTTTACGAGTAAATATCTCAGGAACCACAGAGTCTAGGAGGTTGAAATTTAAGGGTAATGACCTCCTATCCACGCCCAACCTTGCCCGTTCAAATTCAGCCTTCCTTTACCCGCGGGTAACACGTACGGCCCCATGAAATTTTTTTACGGGTAAGTTATTGTCTCGGGAACCACAGGATCAAGGAAGCTGAAATTTCAGAGTAATGACTCCCTGCCCACGCTCAACCTTGCCCATTCAAATTCAGCTTCCCCGCGCTCTCGGGTATCACCTACGGAACAGTAAAAGTTTTTACGGGTAAATTAGTATCTCAGGAACCACGGAGTCTAGGAGGCTGAAATTTTAGAGGAATGACCCCCTGCCCACGCTCAACCTTGTCTATTCAAATTAAGCGTTCCCGCGCTTTTGAGTGTCACCTACGGCCTCGTGAAAATTTTGGCGGGTAAACTATTAACTCGGAAGTCACGGAGAGATATTCGACCTTCATGGTTTCGAATTCATCTTTCATGCGCTGGTGCGTGAAATTTTTAACTATTTCCCAGTTTTTGAACTATTTTTGCATAGGCA